GGCCTGGCCAATCCACGCTCTCAATCCAGGAGGGTCCGCCAATAGCCGCATCTCTTTTCCGCCCAGGAAGCGGGCTCTCCCGTGGTCTTGGGTAGGCCCAGCCAATCCTGAGAGAGCTTCCACGGCGCGCAGTTTTCCCAACAGCCACAAGGGAAACAGCCGGGGCGGACGAAGGCTGAAGCCGAGGACTAGCAAGCGCTACCCGAGTACCCGAAGGGTAAACTCGCGCATGTACACTGGCCTTCAGCCTGCAGAGTAACGGCTTCTTCATTTTCGCTCAGCGCTTTGCCGATTACGTGACGCATGCTGTTCCCGGCTCTGGCATCACTCTATTCTGTAAACTGGAGAAGCGAGGCCCAGAAGGTGGAAGCAATTATTGTGATATATCAAAAGACTGAAACAAGTAATTAATCAAACCTCAGGTCAGGGAGCCAAGCGCAAACCTGCCGGGAGCCAGTACGTGTGCGCAGCTCCGCCCCTCTTTTGGCGAAGCTACGAGGTCTGATCCTTCTCGCGACCTGTCGCGTGGCGGAGCAAACGCGGAAGGCCGTGCTGGCGGTGAGTCGCTATGGAACCCGACGGGACCTACGAGCCGGGCTTCGTGGGTATTCGATTCTGCCAGGAATGGTGAGGCCCGGCCAGCACGTGTGGAAGGGGAGCAGTAATGGCCCCGGAACTGACCTCTGACCTCCCCTTCCCCACAGTAACAACATGCTTTACCCCAAGGAGGACAAGGAGAACCGCATTCTACTCTACGCGGTGAGCACGAGCCCGCCTGGCGCCCGGATCTTCCTTGACCCAGCAACGCGCTCCCAATGTGGCCCCGCCCCACTCCCTGTACCTCCCCCGATGCGCCCTTGTCTAGCCTCCCGACTGTACCCCTAGAGAACCCGACCCTCTTGTCTTGACCATCCGCGAAGTAATTCTCGAGTACACTCCATAATCCCAACCTCGAGACTCCATCCCCTAGTCTTCCTCTCCTGGGAAGACCCTGCCCTCCCTTCCAAACCCCATCAGGGATCTCTCCGTGACCCTCTTCCCGCCACATTCGCCCTCTCGCAGTGCCGGAATTGTGATTACCAGCAGGAAGCCGACAACAGCTGCATCTACGTCAACAAAATCACGCACGAAGTGGAGTAAGTGGCAGGACCGGAGCTTGGGGACGGGGTTGTTTACTTGGGAGGCCTTGTCCAAGCATAATTATTCACCCTCTATTCCCTCAGCGAATTGACTCAAATCATCGCTGACGTGTCCCAGGACCCCACGTTGCCGCGGACCGAAGACCACCCGTGCCAAAAGTGAGCGCGCCGCTGGTACTGGGGAGGGAAAGTGGCTCGTCCTCACCAGTCGGAGAAGGGAGGAGGGAAGGGTATGGCGGGCTGAGTGGCTGTTCCCTTAGGTGCGGCCACAAGGAGGCGGTGTTCTTCCAGTCACACAGTGCCCGGGCCGAGGTGAGTGGCGCGGGCCGGGCTTTCTGGGTGATCTGGGTCTGGTCCTTCCCGGCGGTAGGGATACCAGTATTGGGGGGACCCTGCCCTTCCTGGCAACCTGAGGTGGACCTTTAGCAGTGGGGAAAGCCTCCTGGTCGGTTCTTCTGGGGTGAGGCTCCTCTGGATGGAGATGTTGTACCTTCCTGAGGGTCCAGACCCTTCCTAACTGTGCATCCTTCTACCAGGACGCCATGCGCTTGTACTACGTGTGCACGGCCCCACACTGCGGCCACCGCTGGACCGAGTGAACCATCCTCCCCCTGTGTAATAAAAGCAGTGTTCTGTGCGCGCATGTCTTCTGTTTATTTGCCTCTCATGGGTTGGATGCGAGATGCACCATGTCAAGCAGCGCGGTGCAAGGCGCGGTGCTGCGCATAGGCGTCGGGCCTCGAGCTGGTGAAGCCGCAGTCCTCGCACACGTGTAACTTCTCACGGCGCTCACGGTAAGCGTAGCTGGCTGGCTGCCCATGCACCTTGGCAAGATGTGCTTCAAGCGAGCAGCGCTGCGTAAACGCTTTCCCACAAGCTCCGCAACGGAATGGTCGGATCCCTGCGCAGGTGGGCAGGAAGGAGAGAGGACAGACAGGACAATGGCCTCCATACCAGAGCCTCCCCGCTTTGCCCTCTGTGAGCATTCCCTCGTTCCTCTTCCAGGGTCGCCAGACCTCTGCATCCCACCATCTGCTACTTCACAGATGCAAACATAGACCTGTATCCCCCACCCTCCTCACCGGGATGTTCCTTCCCCTGGAAGAGAGGCTTTCTCTCACACCTTTCTATCTGGGACCTGAATCCTGTAACCAGTCCCTGTTTCACTCTATATCCCTCAGCAGGCCACTCCCTTGGCACCATCTTACACCTACAGGTTGGCAGCTGAGATGGGTGGTATTCCCAGCCTCCTGATGGCGGAATCTCTGCCCCATGAACACAGGTGTCACCAGAAACTCCACGTCCTGCTCCATCCCCGCCCAGTAGGCCCCCCAGTCCCTGCCACTGCTCACCTGTGTGAGTCCTCATGTGGCGCTTGAGGTCGAAGGCATCGTGAAAGCCCTTGCCACAACAGTGGCACACGTGGCGGCGCACAGGGCTGTGGCACTTGAGGTGCCGGGTCAGCATGCGCTGCAGCGGGAAGGCCTTGGGGCAGAGCGGGCAGCCAAGCGTCCCAGGGCCCCTGGGAGTGGTGGTCAGAGCGCCTTGAGAAGGCTATGGGAGGGACATGGAGTCAGGATCCCCACCCACCACCTGCACTGGAGCAAATGGAGTGCCTAGAACTGGGAACCAAGGAGGTCTGGGAAGGCCACAGACTAGGATTTGTGCCTGCAAATGCCACCCCTTCTCCAAGGTCTTCCCTGACCACCCCCATCGCCCTTACCTTGTTTTATATTTTTCCTTAGTACATACCACTTTTCCACCATAATATATATTTTTCTAATTTTATTGTCTATACCTGCAGCCCCCACCAGATTATAAACTCCAGGAAGAAATGAGTTTTTGTCTTGCTCCTAAATATCCATTGCCTAGAACAGTTCTGTTTCTCAGTAAAAACTGAAATAATCTCCAGCACATTTACATCCCATCTAGGGCTTACCCTCTTCCAGTGGGTGCACAGCTGAGTATCCTCTCTGAGATGCCCCAGGCTCCTCCCTCATCCCTCATCCCTGGTGGCAGGGGCTGTGGCTGCCCACCCTGTGGAAATGGTGCTTGGGTTGCAACCTAATGGTGAACTCACTGCTAAGAAAGGAAAGGCATTCCCAGCAGAGAGAACACTGGAGGGAAAGGTCCTGAGGCTGGAGGAGCATGAGGGAGTGAGGGGCAGTCAGGTTTTCCAGAGGCTGAGGGCAGGCAGGGGTGGAACTGATTAGGGTCTTGTGGACCAGCTGCAGACTCACCGCCACCCAAGAGTCCCCGAGGCTGGAAGTCTGGTGTGCTGGTGGCCCCCCCAGGCTGCTGCAGTCTGAGGAGAGAAGCCAGATGGTGATGCTTTGTGTCTCCCCTGCCCCCCAACTCCAGGCCCAGTGAGGGGCCCACCTGGGACATAGGCATCTCCCCGGAGCTGGTCAGGCAGGTGGCCCCAGTCGGGTGGCTGTGGACGCCGACTCCTGACCAGGAAGACACGGGGCATCACCTCCGGGAATAGTGAGACAGCTCCACGTACACGGCTGCTTTCTCCACCTGCTGTCAGACCTCAGGCCCAGGATGACTCCCAGGTGGGAAGGGAGGGGACAGCCTCGGAGGAGCCTCATTCTCTCCATGCAAATTTCATGACAGGCCCAGGAAGCAGACTCAACTGGCTCCAGTTACCTCTGCCTTGGGCTCTGCCATTTCTCTCCCTTTTCCTCTGCCAGGATCCTGAGGGCAGTCTCCAGTCCCCACCAGTGCTAGGTCCCCCAGCAGAGCAAGCAAGGGCAAGACTGGAGCCTAGGTGGCTCTTGAGGGGTAGGGAGAGAAAACAGAGACCCCAGTGGGGCTGAGTGTCCTCCCATAGTACTAGTAGGGCTAAGGACCTGAGAGTCTGTTTGCCAAGCAAATCAGTCACCACCGGACATCCAGCAGCCTGCTTGGTTATTCAAATCACAGGAGCTGTCTGAGGAAGCAGGGGAGGGGCTGGCTGTGATTGCCTGCTTCAGAGGGTAGAGGGACAGCAGGGTCTAACTGGTATGGTCAAAGTGAGGATCCAGGCTGTGCATCTTCAAGCAGGAAGCTCCACCTCTTTGATCCTCATGCCCAGAACTGATGTCCAACCAGAAGCAATGTTCAGGGGTACAGGGCATTTAAAATACAGGCCTGTTAATAGTTGGGCTCCCAGTAACAGCCTGGAACACCACTACCCCACTCTCTCATGGTCTAGGAACTAAAGGGGGTCACCTGACACAGCCAGCGGCTCCCAGGACCCTTAACCCAGCACTTTGGCCAGGCTGTGTTCTAGACTGGCCTCTTAGTCAGGGGTTAAGGATTTTGAATATTCTCCATGCAGTTACTTTTTCTCATTTATTCACCCAACAATTTTCAGAGCTCCAACTACAGGCCACGCCTAGCTCAGCACTGAAAATGAAGACAGAACTTAGTCCAAGGCTAAGGTGGGGACACACAGGCAGAGTGACCCAGGCTTCGATGGGGAGAAGTGGTGAGCTCAGGAGACCCAGAGAGGCTCCTGGTCCAGCCTAAGGGTTCCAGGACAACATCCTAGGTGTGAGCCCCAAAGGAATAAGAGGTTTCTGGTAAAAAGGGTTTTCCAGGCAGAGTAACAGTCTACGGAAAGGCTTGGTGGTGAGAGAATAAATATTATTCATTTCTTCACATTCCCTGAGAGTCAATCCTGCTGCTTCTTTCGGGGAAGCAAGCGAGGCAGTGCTGAGAGTCTGTCGGCCTAGAGCTTTGCCGCATCTCCGCAGGACCTGGGGCAAGTCACGTTTCGCAGAGTCTCAGTTTATCTGGAAATGGGACTAATGAATCTCCTTACCGCTGGTTTGTGTTGAAAATCTGCGTGGATCACATGGGGAGAAAGCTTCACATTGGAGCTGGCACGAGGCAGAGATACAAACGGGGCTGTTAGAAAATCTTGAAATGTTGAGTGGCTAGGCAAGCATTTGAGTTTCAATCAGCCCATGTGAAAATGGGGTTTTAAGTGTCTCCATCTCCCAACTGTTGGATTTTATGCAGCTGTGACCAGTGTGCCCGGCCCGGGTCTGGTGGGCCAGTACCTAGGACCCATCTGATGTGGAGTGCGGGGCGAGTTTAGCACTGGACTGAGAGCTGGTGAACGGGTTATGGGAGCCATCTTGTTTCTCTCAGGTGCCCAGTTCTCCATGCCCAAGACCATGTCTCTTGGGGCAACTGGTTCCCAAGTTGTTGCTGAAAACACATTGAGGAAGAACTCTGGGCCTGGGTATCTTTATTTGCCCCCAGATCCCTTCTCTGTCCTGTTCTGCTCTGCTGTGTCCTGGGAGGCTGACCTGGGTGAGCAGCATCATCTGAGCTCCTGTGCCCTCCAGCTTCCAGGATGGTTTGGATAATGAGGAGCCCTGCAGAAGATGGGGGAGGGGGCTCCCCCAACTCCCTCCCTGTGGGGTTGCCTGGAACACAGCTTCCCTCGGGGCAGCCCTCTCTCAAGGATTTGCTCTTCTGGGTTCCACTTTATTCCCTTGTGTCTTGTGGCCTGAGAGGGGAATAACAGCTCTTCTCTGGTTCAAGCCCAGGGGACTGGACTGGACTGGTCCTGAGGTTTCCCTATTCCCTGCCCACCCCTTTGCAAATGATCCCTTTGCTAAACTCTCTGTGAAATATTCCACATGAGCCTGCTGCCCTCTCCCTGCTGAGACACTGTGTCATGCACACACATTCATCAGTGGTAGTTTCTTAACAAGAAGTCTAGTCCTTCCAGGGCTGAAGAGCTCAGCATTAGGAGGACACAGAGAGTGGCAGACACACTGGATCCTCTCTACCAGCTCACCCTCCTTTTGTGCTGAGAGAACCCAATTTTCTTGGAACAGCACATGCCCAGGACAGGAGGGACGGCTGGTCTAAGCATATGAAAGCCATTTCCATTCCTGTTGCCTGCTTTGAGAGGCGAGGCATCTAGGAAGGCTTTGCACTATTTTCCCACTATCCTGTTGGCTGCCCTGCTTTTGCTCCTGGTTGGGTGAGGGTGTACTGCTGGAGCTACGGCAGCCACGTTGCCACTGTGAGGGCCTAAGGCAGACAGTGAAACTCACTCAGAGAGAGTGAAATAGGGCAGGAACGGAATCAATAATAACATGTCCCTATAGCTCGGACCCCCTCAAGCCAGGTGTTGGCTACCTGCAGTTGAAGCTTTCACTATGATACAGGGTGGGAGGAGGGGTAAAATCTACAAGACAGAGGCTCAGGGTGGTCCCAGAGTGTCATTGCCTCAGAGATCTTAGGCATCTGTGGCCAAGCTAGGCAGCCTGTGGGCCTGGGCAGGGAGCCTGGCAGAGGTGCTGCCCACCTACCTGGACCACCTAGGTTTCCTAAGGCAGGGGAGGGGGAGCCCTGAGAAATAAACAATACTGGGCATCTCCCCAAACACCAAGATCAGTGACTTTTATTTGGGGAAATAAATTGTGCTGTGAATGTTTCCTGGATTGATATGTCATGAAGCAAGAAGGCTCTGCCCAGTGGGACCCATTCCTCCTCCCACCTTGTCGCCTACCCTCGCCCTGAGTTCACTCCATTCCAGCCTCCTGGCTTCATTGCTATTCCTGTCATGTATGTTTGGTCCACCATGGGGCCTTCACGCTGGCTACTCTGTCTGCCTGGATGCTTTCCTGAGTGTCCACATGGCCTGTGCCCTCCAGCAAGCCTCAGCTCCAATGTCACCTAGGCAAGGCCTTCCCTGACCCTTCAACCAGCACAGGGAATTCCCTCAGCTCACCTGCAGTTAAGACAGTTATCAACTCCTATTGTGTTTTGCTCTCTAGAAGGTGCATACCACGAGGACAGTGGCTTTGCTTGTCCTGTTTCTCACTCTACTCCTAATACATAGAACAGTGACAGGCCCCTGGGGGCCAGCAGGATTTTTTCAACTGCACGATTGGTTCTGATGTGTATCAGCATTTACAGGGGCAGCAGAGGGCCATGTCCTTGTGTGGAAGGGTCTGGCTCTACCACCAGGCGAGCCAGGGTCTGAATCTCAGCTCTATGGGACCCCAGGCAAGACCCTGGATCTCTCTGAGCCTGTTTCTGGTGGGCCACCCTCACCGAACAGAGCAGGGAGGAACTCACAGGCAAGCGGGGGTTCCGCATGGTAGGACTGAGCTTCAGCAGAGGGCCCTGCTCCTGCTGGCTTCCTTTTTATAGACTTGGCATAGTGAGGGCTTTTGTGGTCACAAGGGTGGCCTTCTTAGTAGATGTGCCATGTGGCTAGATGCCTGCTGCCTGGGGAGGCTGGTACCAGTGCTGGGAGCTCAGGGGATGTTGAAGCTGGACATAGTCCTGCTGGGGAAGGAATGATTAGTCCTGGCCGCTGGGCGTGCTGCCTGGATTGTCCAGTGGGTGAGCCTGTCTGTCTTTCCTCAATTTCCTGTGCTGCAAATGGGAACAAAAGCCTGGCCCTCAGAGGATCCAGCAGAGGCCCAGGGGCCATAAGCCAGTCATTTGGCAACATGTGTACTGGTGGCCCAGGTCTGGCACGTGGTGATTACAGCGGCTCCAGTGGGTTCTTGGGATCAGCGGGGGGCAGGGAAGAAGGGCTGGCGCCTCCCTGGGGTATGGCTGAGCCCCACTGGGCAAGGACCACAGGTGACTCCACAGCAGCACAGTGGGGACAGGAGACTTGGGGGCCAGATGCTGGGTGACCATTACCGCAGTTCCCAAATAGTCCTGTGTGCCCCACAACGGGGTCCTGGAACAGGGCCTGGCACTGGGGCATCTGTGAGTTCCCTGGGCTCTCTACCCTCTCTCCCTGCATCCCCTGAAGGGCTCGGTGGATGCGCCAGGACAGGCACCAGGAACCACTCCTCCAAGCTGTCAGTTTATTTGCTTAAAACACCTATTTCTTCGGAAGCAGCAGGGCTGCGGTGGAGGGGGCTGCGGGCCCTCAGTCCCCCCGCGCCTTCCTCCGCACGGCCTGCACCAGCAGCTCCGAGTAGTGTTCCAGCAGGGCACGCAAATCTGGGCTGGCTAGGGGGCACAGTGTGGGTGGGGAAGGGGTACCCGGGCTGGGCAGGGCCTGGGCTGAGGCAACGTCAGTCCCCACCAGCCAGTCGTTGGCCTCTAACTGGCTGTGGATCCAAAGGAAAGTAGAGGCCAGCTCAGTCCTTGCCTGCTGCCGCTCGGCGCTCACCTCGTCACTGGAGACCATCTGCAAGGGTGCCCACCTTGTTAGGGGCCACTGAGGCCAGGTGGCGCCAGGGAGCCCCTCAGCCCTTTCCCCTGACCCTGGGCTTGGCTCACCAAGTGGTAAAGGTCCAGGGCTTCTTGGAAGGCAGCCTGCAGTCTGTGCACGACAGTCCCCACGTTGCTCAGCTCAAGGGGATCTGGGGGCAGGACCCCGGCTGGTGCCCTGGGTTCCCCACAGTGTCCAGGACAGCCCTGGCCCAGACTGAGTGCATCTGGGGGTGGAGGGGAGAGAATGAGAAAGACGCCTCCACTTTCTAGCTGGTCTAAGAGAGGCCAGGGTGGCTGGGGTGATCCCAAATATAGTCCCTCTGCTTGGAGCACTTCCCTCAGTCCCCAGGGCTCCCTTCCCATCTCTCCTACTCAGGTCTCTGCTCAAATGCCACCTGCTCCCTGAAGCCTTTCCTTATCATCCTGTTTAAAATGAACCATTCTCTCCACTTGTCACCCCAAGCCTTTTCTTTCTCTCCTTAGCACACATTACTTTATGATCCACTTAACACCTTCCTTATGGATTCAGTCTGAGCATCTCCCCCTGTTCAGGTGTCAATTCTCTGTAATCTTGTTCGCCACCAGGTCCCATGTCCCCAGGGCCTAGAACACAGCCCAACACATATGAGGTGCTCCCTAAATATTTAAGGAAATGAATGAATGAAGGGCACGGCACCTGGGGCCTGGTCAAGTGCCCACCTTTGGAGCTGAGCCAGCTGTTACATGGGATAAGCTTAGGGGACAATCCCTTGTCTCAAGGGTGGTACTCACCAGGGGCGGGCTCCAGGAGGGAGGTGATGCTGCCAGGGACCTCAGGCCGGGCCTCTGGAAGCGGGGGGCTATTGGGATGGGCAGGGGTATTGAGGGGCTCAGGGGCCAGGAACCTTGGGAGAAAAGTGGAGTTGTGGAGCCTTGGGGAGCTCACATCCACGGGGCTGGGGGCTGGGAAGCTGGCTGTTGTGACCGTGACATCAGGCTGCATGGCCACAGGCTCCTGGGACCAGACACATGTGGTGGGAGGCTCCAGCTGGGGTGGGGGCAGTAAGAGCCTGTCACAGATGCTTGACAGGGTGAGTTTCAGGCTGGCCCGGGCCTCATGGTTGCCCCGGGAGGGCAGGGCAGGTTCTTGGCCCTTGCTGCCAGAGCTGGGTGTCGGTGTCGCTGTGGTGCTGAAGGCCTGGAGTTCCTGCCCCAGTGAGGCCAGTTCCCCCAGGGATGAGGGCCTGCAGGGAGGCCTGGCCAGCTCAGCCAGGACAGGGCCCTCACTGTCCTCAAGGGAGATGTTGCGTGACATCTTGGCACGGGAACTGGCAGTGGCTTCCATGTAGGAGTGGGTGGCAGGGGTGGGGACACCCTGAACCAGGCCTGGAGTGGGTAAGGCTGTGGGCGTCGGAGGGTTCTTGTCTGCGGGCAGCACTGAGGAAGGGACACAGGGCACCAGGCCTGTGAGGTAGGGGGCTGCAAAGGAAGCGGACAGCTTACTCTCACGCCCCAGCTGCAGAGCTGCTGGACAGGGCCACCCACCCAGGGTGGCTGCAGGGTCTGAGTGGACCCTGTCCATCCCCACCCTGGCTCAGCTGGGTCCCCAGGGCCGCTTGCTGAGAAGCCCAAGGCTATTCATCTGGGGATGGAGACACTCACTCAGTGGCGACTGGGCCTCCAGGGTCTCGAGGGGATCCTCAACCTTCTCCCCAGAGAGAACCTGCAAGCACAGCCTTGAGGTGAGCACAGGGCCTCCCGGCTCCCAGCCCTATGTCTTGAGGGAGGTGGCCCCAGTACTTACGTTGGTCCTGCCTGGGGAGGTGTAGCCAGTACCTGCTCTCAGGGGCTCTGCTCTGGGCTGGCTCCCCGCAAGGTCCATGAGTTTGACCTCCGGGGACTTCACGAGGTGCAGGGGCAGACGGGAGGGGAAAGTGTGGGTGAATCTGTAGGGAGGAAAAACAGGTGGTTGTGGCTGCCCTGGGGGTGCCTGAGGGGGAGACAGAGAGCTGGAGGTGGGGTGGAGGGTCACTCATTCTCCAGCTCCCACCTGGATGTCTTCTGGAGGCGTGAGAGGAACTGGGCTGAGATGCTCAGCCGGGGACTGAAGAAATCGTCCTCAGACTCGGAGGCCTTCAGGTCTTTCAGGGATCTGTGGAAGAGCTCTAGGGCAAGATGCCGAGGGAGCCCTCAGAATCCCTCCAGCCAACCAGCCCTGGGCCCAGGCAGACCCGCAGACCAGCAGACAGATCCTCAGAAACCCCTAGCAACAGACAACACAACACCCCTACCTTGGGCACAAATGAAGCAGAGGAAACTGTGCAGCCAGGTCTCTGAGCAAGACGTATGCCCTGTCACCACCCTTGGCAGCCCTGTCGGGGAAAGCCCTCCCCGCACCGGGCCCAGCCCTGACGGCCCGCCCAGGCAGGGCCTACCCTCGGGGTGGGCGTCAGTGAGCGTCTCAAAGTGGTGGCGGAGGAACTTCTCTTGCTCAGGGGTCTGGGGCAGGGAACTGCTGGATACGCCTGGCACTTCAGGCCGGGACAACTCTTCTGAGGTACCTGGGCATCCTGGGGAGAGACGGAGAGGGTGGGGGAGAGGGAGTGGGCAGGAGAGAACCATCAACACCATGAGTCATAGCAGAAGCCAGACGCTTAACAATGGAGAAAGCTGGACTCGCCCATCACACACCCTGCTGCTACCAGGTAAAGAGAGGGCTAATGGCTCTGTCTTCTAGGGGAGGAAACTGGGGCTCAGTGGCCACAAAGTACAGGACTGAAGTCAGGCCAGTGGTTACACATCACGACCAGCCCCTGGCCAGGCCCACGCACTGGCCTGGCCCACGTCTGGCCCCTGCTCACCTGGTGTGGGGGGCACTGGCACGTCAAACTGAGGGTCTGGGTCTGGCCGTGGAGGGGAGGAATGGATGGTGGTGAAGCTGCACTCCAAGTCGGCCTCCGGCTCCCCCGAGTCTAGAGGAGCAGAGCAGGGGTCAGGAGCCCAAAGCTGGGCCCTGACTGGGTGAGCCAGGTATGGGGCTCAGGTTCTCAGGGCTTCCATTTCCTCATCTGGAGAAAGGGGACGATAATACATGCCCCCTTATTTTTATGGACTAGCAGGGCTATGCTTTGAGGAAGTGCGGAGCTGGGCTCCCACCGGTAGGCACCTGGGCTCCAGAATCCTTGGGTAACAGCAGGGACTGTGTCTGTCTCTCTGTGACAGACTCTGAGCTTCAGGAAGACTGTGTCATGGTCACATCAGTGCCCAGAAAGGGGCCCGGCCAGGCTGACAGACTACTGCAGGACCCTCGCCTGGTGCTCACTCACCCTCTGGTGGGCTCTGATTCTTAAAGCCGGTGGAGGGGACCCTGAGGTAGGAGTCATCTTGCTGGTCTCTGGTCGCCCTCTCTACCTCCTCCGCACAGTAGCCCCTGCAGTGCCCAAAGGGGTGGGGCGAGGGAATGATAAAATCCTCATTAGTAAACAACCGGCCGCCACCCAGAAGCCCCAGGCACCTGCACCTGCTCCTACTGGGAGTACGGCCTCGCCTCTCCTGCCTCTTCCAAAGGCTCCCTGCGCCTCCACCTGGAACCTGGGAAACAGGCTGCAGCAGAAGCCGTCCAGCCTCACCCCCTCTGCCTCCCTCCCACAGGCCCCCCGGGAGAGCAGAGAGCAGTTCTTCCTGCCTGTCAGCTGAGGCTTCCTCTCTCCAACGGAGGCTCCCGTGGTGAAAAGGATTCCCACCTGTCTGTCCCTGTGACTGTCATTTCAGCCTCCAGGGAGTAGATGATAAGCTGGCTGGCCTCAGAAGACTCCCCCTGTAGGCGAGGTGAGGAAGGATGCCTGCAGCCATCCTCCTGGGGACTCTCTGACTGCGGGCGAGGAGAGCACAGCCATCAGAGGCAGCCGTGGCCACCGCAACCCTGGAAAGCTGCTAGGTGTTCCACCAGCACCGATGGTCAAAGTAAAGGCATCGGTGGCGATGGCGGCCTTCGCTGCTGGCTGCTCCCCATGAGCCAGGGCCCAGGCCATCATGCGCTCACTCTCTGCCTCCTGCATTATCACCAGCCCCTGACAGATGAGGAAGAGGCATGACTCCAACTCTCATTATGAAGTTCAAGATCAGGCAAACCAATCCATGGGGAGTGAGGTCAGAACGCTGGTTGCCTTGGTCCGGGCAATGACTGGGAGGGGCACATGGGGACCTTCCAAGAGGCAGAAAATGCTCTATATTTTGACTTGGGTGGTGGATACCTAGGTAACAATTTGTCAAACTGTATATTTATGATCTGTGCACATAACTGTATGTGCATTATGCCACATTAAAAGGAAAACTTATATAATACAATAAAAAAGACTTCTGTTTGGAAAATAACAGAATAAGAGCTAAAGTTGCTTCAGCACCTCTAAGGGCCCAGGCCCTGTTTTTACCACTGGATTCCTGTAAATGCCCTCCCAGGGCATTTTTTAATGGCCATTTTAATAAATGACTGTTTTTCTGGAAATCTTTTTTCTTGGTCATCTTTCTTTTTTCTTTCTTCTTTCTTTTTTCTTTTTATGAAATGACCATATTTTTGAAAACCAAAGCCTAGCAGGGCAAACCTTGCTGCAAGTCACACAGACGGGAAGGGGTAGGGCCAGGGCTCCACCTGCTCCAGTGCTGACTCAGGCACAGGCCTGCCCCCCTGGGCCCAAGCTCTTAACCCCCAAGCAACCGCCTCCCCGACTCCTGGTCTGAATGGGAAGTTGCACTGTGCACCAGGCCTGGGGCTCACCCTCCTGCCCTCCACCATCTCACGTAACCCTCTCGCACCCCTGGAGTGGGACAGTGAGCCTTATTTTCAAAACGAGAGGGCTAAGGGCCCAGCTCCTACTGCGGCAGGCGTGCTGAAGGGGCTGCAGGCTGGGCTGGGCAGGCATGCTGCAGGGGCTGCAGGCTGGGCTGGGCAGGCAGTCCCTACCTCGTTCAGCAGGCCTGCCAGTCTCTGTGACTCCACCGTATCCAGAACTGAGTCCTCCAGGCTCTCGGGCTTCATGGGGGTGAAGTAGCAATCCAGGTCCCGGGCATCCAGGATGGTCTTTAGAGGCTCCTGGTCAGCCCGCTCCGCCCAGCGGCCATGTGGCTGGTAGCTGCGCTTGGTGTGGAAGGCCGAGCTGTCTGCCACGTCATCATCTCCTAGCTGAGGGTGACAGGGATGGTCAGGCAGCTAACCAAGGGTTCAGCAAGTCCAGTCAGGGTCAGGACACTGCACAGACCCTCATCCAGCCTCTCAGCTTTAAACACCAGAGACAATTTCCAGCTATTTGTCTCCAGCCTGAACCTTGCTCTTAAACTTCAGAAGCACACACGCAACTGCTCCACATCTCCGCATGGGTGCTTAGTGATATTTCAAGGTGAACATGTTGATGTCAACTGACCTTCCCCTTCGACCTACTGCTAAGACCTTCCCTATCTCAGCTGCTCAGGCCCCAAATCTTGAAGTCCTCAGGGATTCCTTTTATTCTGCCCCTCATACTCCTTGTTGTATTTCTTCAGCTCTGCCATCCAAACACGTCCAAGATATGGCCACTTCTCTTCCACCGCCCCCTACCCTGGTCCTGCCCATCACAGCCTCCCACCAAGATTGTTGCTGGAGAGACAGTGGAGGGTGGGTGCTTGAGAACTCCAGCTCTGGAGCCAGGCTTCCAGGGTCAATCTCACCTCCTCTAATTCCTAGCTGTGTGACCCTAGACAAGTTACTTAACCTCTCTGGGCCTCATTTCCCTATCTATGAAATAACAGGGGATATGAAAAACCCATACAGCAATGAAGATTAAATGAAAACCCACACAGAGTAAGTGTGCTGTGACTATCTGTTGGATGTAATTCCAACTGTAATATGCACTGAGGAGGGGAAGCTTGGGGGCCTGAGAAAGCACAACCAGATGCCCTGACTTGGTCTGGAGGGCCGGGGACGACGGCAGGGAGGATTTCCCAGAGGAGCTGACATTTAGGCTTTGATTTGAGGCCTGACATTGTTCCTAAAATAAATGTCTCAACTTGGGGTTTAGGGTTCTGCTGCCAGCTTCCAACACACTAGCTCCTGGCCAACCCTTCCCCAACATTAATGATCCCTCGTTCAATCCTAACTTCATCTTGGTCCCTCTCTCTCCCTCACATCTAACTGTTTGGCTCCACCTTTAAAATCCATCCAGAATCCAACCCTTTCTCACCCCAGGTCCAGCCTCCAACCTCTCCTGCCTGGATTATCACTGCGGTCTCCTCCCTGGTCCCCTTGGCTTGTCCCTTAGGGCCTGTTTCCCACAGGCAGCCCCAGGGACCAGTTCACTCCTGAGTTAGAACATGGCCTTCCTCAGCCCAGAGCCCTCCATCCAGTGCACCTCACTCAGCGCTACCCGGGAGAAAGTAAGAGGAGGAGGACGACGAGGGGTGTGGAGGGCCCCTCACCACCAGCCCCACTGCCTTCCCTAGCCCTCCTCCCACCTCATTCACCTCAGCCCAGGCCCCCGGCCTCCCTGCACCTCCTTGACCACGCTAAACTAAGCACAACCCTGCCTCGTGGCCTTTGCCCTTACAGACTGGTCTCTCTGCCTGGACCATTGCTTCCTAGGATCTGCATTTCTCACTTGCTCCCACTCTGTTCAAATATGATCTTCCAAGTGAAGCCTCTGCTTTTTACTCTAAAATTGTTACTCCTCCCCCATCACTTCCTTCTCAACTTGTTTTCCCTCCATAGCAGCAATTATCAGTTCCCCAAAACCATACAGTTGACCTGTTTAATGTGGATACTTCCACCTCCCACACTAGAAAATGAGCCTGTGAAGGCAGACTTCGTGCGCCCTGCTGGCTGCTGTATCCAAGGGCCAGAAGGAGGCCTAGCACAGGGTGGGCGTGCAGTAATTGCATGAATGAAGGGCTGCCTAAGCAGAGACTGGAAGGATGATACGGGTTCTCCAGGGAGAGGAGACATGTGGAGGGGAAAAGGGTTCACAGAAGAACGGGAAGCATGGAGGAGGGAACCCTTACTTTGCCAACCCCAGGCGTCCCGCTCTCCGGGGCCCACTCACCAGCCGCTTTGCCCAGAGTGGCAGCTTGCCATTGGTCAGCAGGCACCGAGGATCTGGAGAGACACACAGAATCCATGAAAAGAGAACGAACCCAACAGACAACAGGCAACATCAACAGGCAGCTCTCCAGAGACAATGCAGGAAACGACAGACATCAAAAGATTGTCAGCCTCGCTAATACACCCTGGGCCTTTGGTCATATGGTTAGAATGGAACTGGTTAAAGTCTCTGCCCTTGGGGATGACCACTTGACTCAAGCCTGGCCAATCACAGAGACTGGCTCAGAAGCGGGCACGAGATTCATAGCAGGAACGGGAGCCATGAAGCCAGGACTTTGCTTGAGCTACTGGGAAAGAGATACTCCCTTCTCTACTGAGTGTTATAACCATGAGCTACCGGGGGACACTTTGCCCCCTGTACAGGGAGAGTCTGCCTGAGAGCAGAGCCAACACAGAGAAAAGCAGAGCCAAGAGATGGAGAAACATCTACTTTAACATCACCTGACTACCTGGATCCAGCTATGCCTGAACCAACACTCTCCAATTTTAATTTACAAGAACCAATAAATTCTCTTCCCAGCTTAAGCCAGTGAGAGTCTAGTTGCTATTACGCTGTAAGAGTCCCAGCTGATGTGATCATTGAGCTTCAGTGTGTGCCAGGCTGTGAAAACAAAGTGGTTGCCAAAACCCAGCAATGATCCCTCCACTGACAGTCCAAAATAGGGCCCCTTTCCCAACCTGGATCCAAGCTCTCTTTGGATGGGGTCTTTAGCAACTCCTCAGGTTCACACTCGTCCTCCAGCTCATCCTCTGTCTGCTCTCCAGGGCTTAGGGAGCAAATCTCGCTGGGCATCGATGCATATGTCTCCTGCCTGCAGCCAGGAATGAAGATGGCAAGGAGTGAAGTGTAGGTGAGTGGGGTGGCAGAGGGCACCTGCCAAGGGCTTGGCCCTGCACTAGGTTCTATATGAACATACTCTTGGCTTTTGGTTAAGATGGTGCTGGGAGGTCCCACATGCCACACCCCCTCTGCTGGAGACATTCTGCCAATAAATGAGATGAAACAGAGGCTGGGCTCAAAAAATAAGACAAACTCTTCAAGGGCCACAGCAATGGAACAGAAAGCAAAGCAGATAGTGGGGCGAGAGTCCTGAGCTGCTGGGTTCTGTTCTGGGAAGCGAGGTTAGCAATGAGATTTCAGCTCCCAGGGCCAAAGAACTGCCCACTCCCTCGGTGCCTAGATCTGTGTTACCTCCAATACCACTGCAGGACAGGTGGCCCATGCCAGGCCTGGCCCAAGCAGGGAGGAAATGACCAAGCCTCAAGACAGGGAGAGAGAGACAGGGACTGCTCCAAAGGCAGGAGAGAGAAAATCTGAAACCTTTCACTCAAATTCAAACCTCCAAACCAAAATCCCAAATGAAAAACTAGGACAGGAATTCACTCCAAATAAAACTGGTCTTGCAGCATAAAGACTTTAAAGAAATATGTTTTAGAAAACTCAAAGACATGAGTGAAGGAATAACTTTCACTTAAAGATGAAGAAGACATCTCAACTCCACTGGATCCTTCCCTGACCACCGCCTGCCCCACCTTGAGCTGGGTTGGGGGCCCTCTCTGGTCCCTACTGACCTCCGCGGCTTCCCCATCCGTGTATTCACGGGTTCTCCAAGCACTTTGGCTTTTCCACTTCAAAACCCTTCTCGTGTGCATTACTGCAACTTCGCATTCAAAGTCCACCTCCCCCTACCGGGCCCTGAGTGCACAAAGGGCAGTGCCCAAGGCTGGGCCATGGCTGGGTCCCTGCCTCACGCCTCACGGGGGTCCATGGCAGGAAGACATCCCTCTGGTGAATGGACAGATGTGGGTAGACAGGCGGCTGCCAGGACCTGGGGCGGCTGCTCCACTCCCTGTCGTTCGTGCTCTGCTGCTGCTGCTGCTCCTGGTGGTTGATCTCCAGCAAGTGCTGCTTCATGCAGTTGGTGATCTCCGGGCCCAGATGCCAGATGAATACGCAGCTGCAGAGGCCAAGGAGGGATGTGGAAGAGGGAGGAACAGTGAACGGGGAAGCCATCTGACTCTGGAGCCACCTGGGTCATCACAGCCAGGACTCCATTCCCTGGCCCAGAAAACACACCCCATGAGTTTAATGCAGGGGCTCCGGACCAAGTCTGGGCTACACCCCAGGTGGGGTCCAGGCATCCCAGCAAACCAGGGCTGCACTGAAGGCCTCGAGACCCAAAGAAGGCGGCTGTGAGGAGGGACTGTAGTAAATCAGAGAGAGTGACAAAAGGGACTTCCTTGAGTACCAACCACGTGCTAAGGAACTTATTTATGTCACCCCATTTGATTCTCACTGTACAATTTTCAAGGCAGTCAGGGTCATCTCTCTTTTACAGAGGCTCAGAGAGGGGAAATGTCCTGCTCAGGGTCACAAGCAAGCAAGTGGCAGATCTGGAATTTGAACTCCCGGCGCTCCCGGTGTCTGAGCCCTTGCTCTCCCCAACAGGACAGGCCCACTCTCTCCCAGAAGAAGGCACAGCCAGGGGCAGCCTCCAGGCCTTTCCCACCTGTCTCCAGATACTGTGATCAAGTGACGACAATCGTAGGTGAACTTCATGCCAGTGACGATTTCTGAAAGCAGAGCAGAGAAGTTGCGCTGGCCTTCCAAGCCAGAAGGCTGCGTGGGGGCAGGTGGGGAAGTGTCCCAAGCAGGGAGGCACACTCACCTGAGTGGCCAAACATCTTGGCAACGCACTCGCCCGAGTAAAAATCAATCACTGAGATGCTTTTGTCAGAGCAGCTTGTGGCCAGGAAGGTGCCTGATGGGTCCACATGGACCTGTGAGCAGAGGAGTCATGTGACACTTGGGCCGCCTCCCCCCCCAGATGCCTGGGTCAAACATCACAGCCCCACTGACCGAGGACCCCTCGGCTAGGTGCTTGGCACGTGGTCCTGGGTAGCCGTCACAGCAGATACCGTGGTCGGCTGAAGCCCCTGCTCCATTTCACAGGGGAAGAAATTAACTACCACCACAGTGGTGCTACTGGCGGCCAGGCCCTGTGCTAAGCACTGTATGTGTATGGACTTATTTCCTCCACAGAATGCTGTGATAGAGGCTTTTTTAATTTGCATTTTACAGATGATGAAACAGGCTCGAGAGGAGATGATATCTGCCCAAGGTCACAGTCAGCTCCAGGCAAAGCTGTAGGAGGGTCTGACCCCAGAGCCCGAACTCATAAAAACTCCCTCAGGCCAGAGGCCCTTGAGAAGGTCCCCACCTTGTTCTGGAAAACATAGGCAGGGGGAAAACCTGGAGAGGGGACCCCAGGCCTCTCTGATTCTCCCCACCATACTTCATTGCCACTCAAAATGGAAACCCCTGCAATGTCCCCGCTTGGGGAAGGGCTCAGTAAATATGGTAGAGCAGCTGGAGGCCATCCCCAGCTCCCAAGCATCCTTGGTTGGTCAGCCAGGCCTGAGTAGATGCTGGCCAGTGTGCGACCCTTTGATCAGGTGCCAAGGGGGACACAGGTCTCAGGTGGCCCAACAAGGCAGGAGACAGATGGGGGGGCCCTGTGTGTGGTTTTCACCTGGGGGCCCCAGCTCCTCACCTTCAGCAGGGACCCTTCATCCCCCTGGGAGCCCTTGTAGCACTTCTTCTGCTTCCCGTTCACCGTGTTGTAGACTCTGGGAAGGTGGGGACACAAGTGGCCAGCATGGCCCTGGCCACCTGCGCTCTCTTGCCCTCTGGTTCCAGCCTTATCTGCTGCCCCCCCTCCCCTGGAAGCCCCCCGCTTCCTCTTGTCTCCCATCTGATGCCTGGTCTGAAACCCCACATCAGGGAGTGTGACCCCGTCTCAGGCTGAGGTCACAGAGGTCATGTACTGAGGTGTGCAATGAGTTAATGTCTGTCTCCCGGCCACTCAGCAAGCTCAGTGCCTGCCACCCAATTTGAATGAGCAAATGAAGGAGGTGGAGGACCTTTTTGCACATGCTCATTGCTCTACATCCTTCCCAGTCTAAGCTCAGATGTCTCTTCCGGTAAGCCCTGTCTGAGCCCCAGGTGCGGTCGGGGTCTCCCCAGGGTCCCCCAAAGCCCCTGGGCTCCCCTCATCCCAGCCCTGACTACTCTGTACTGTCACTGTATGGTGAGGTGTCTGACTCTCCTCCACTGCAGTGAAGGCAGGCCTTGGGCTGCCCTGTCACTGCTGTGACTCCCCCACTGTCCCTCCCAGACGGGTGCTCAGGGAACGAGGGTGAATGAATGGTTTGTGAGCCACATTAGCACCCCTCAGTCACCCCACACAGGCAGGCCCCTGAGAGCCGGGGGAGCTCTCTGCTGACCTGGTGGCTAGGCCCAGCTCCTAAGAAACACCCAGTGGGTCCCTCCACTCCACCTAGCTTCTCAGGCACCAGATGAGCAGAGGAAGAAAGCAGACAGCTCAGTAGAAGACAGACCCGACTGGGCCCCATATGGCCCACCTCAGAAACCAGCCCAGGCCTGGGCAGCTCCTCACCTTACATTGCGGTCCTGGCAGGCCACGGCCACGTACTTCTGGGTGATGTCAATGTCCATGTCATACAGGGTGGTCTTCTCTGCCACGTGGTGGGTACGGACAAAGTGTAGTCCATCTGAGGCCTGGCAGGGCAGGCAGGGCCTTCAGAGGACACCCCTGTCAAATCCCCAACCCCAGCCCCCAAGTA